GGAGAATGAATTGCATTTCCTGTGGTTTCTCCCAAACTTTCCAGAAGGACAAGATTAATGGGAATGGGAATTGTGTCATGATCTCGGGGATCTTTTTCTCCCAGATGCATCAATAAAGCTTTGACGTTCAATGAAATGAAAAATGAAAAAAAAATGGCACTGCTTTGAAAAACCATGGGTGGGAGAACCATCAGTGCAGAATCATCCTATCTGCATTTATTACGCCAAACTTTTGGTCACATCTCTGCTTCAGCTTTCATTAATAACCCTGTACTTCCATGTCAAGCCCTGTCTCATAAATCTTATTTCATAAAATGCAAATTATGGGCTGGTTTGATGCTCAAAGTATTTGACAGTGTTTCCCCCTCTTTACTGCAAAAGGTGGCAGCACTTAATTGAACTTGTCTGGGTTCAACAGCTGAGCAGGGCCAGATCTGGTTAGTACAGGGATGGGAGACTATCAGGAAATTTCAGGGCTATAGATTAGACTGGGAGATTGAAAGATATCCTGGAGGAAGGCAACAACAAGCCATTTGTCATGCTGCTGCAAAGAAATTTAATACACATCTATAAATCCCCAGGAGTCAAGCTTAACTCAGAGGAGATATTACCTTTAATATAGCACACACATATATAGGACCCAGCTCACCATAAAGAAGAATGATAGTTCTTCCTGTCATGTGCAGCCAAAGGGGGGGGGGGAGTGATGCAACGTGTTATGCACAAATTTCACCTCTTATGTACTTATACAAAAAGGCAAAATTTGAATTGTAATGGCATGACATGTTTCCATCTTTGCCTGTTATTAAGACTAGCTACAGAAGCTTCTTCCTCTTCTGTATTCCTATTACCCCTACCACTACCTTTGGATTGCTTGAAAAGGGACCAAGCTACAACTCCAATTTCAGATGACAAATTAAACAAAGCATTATTTCAGGTGATTGGCATCATCTGTAACTATCTTAGCTGGTCTGCTTTAAGACTAGTAAGGGTTTGTCAGTAAATTTCAATGTGGCATCAGATAATCAAAAACTGAGCCAGGAACTTTCCAAGTATCCAGGGATTTGGCTATGAATCAGGAGTGGGTTCCGGCAGGCACTACTGCCGGTTTGCTCGTGTGTGCGCCGCACGCGCACGCTTGATGCACGCTGTGTGATTAAAATTGTTCTGCGCATGCGCAGAACCAAAAAACAAGATGGTGGCACCTATGACGCTGCCGGAAGAACCGGTTCGAGGGCGTGGCAGGCCTGGGTCGCTGCTGGTTTCAGCGACTCAGACTGTCAAACCACTACAGGTTCAGCTGAACCGGTCTGAACCGATAGGAACCCACCACTGCTATGAATCCAGTTCTTTGGAATCTACTTTAGCAAATTCCCACTGGTTTCTAATGTTTCATGGTCTCCCCATTTGATTGTAAGCAATCCCAGTTCCAGACTCCTTTTTTGAACTCTCAATGACCTGGAATAGGAATATTTGTCTAATCTCACTTTACATACATGCTATTTTTTTAATCCTATGCAAACATAATTTGCTTTCCCTTATGCTATTTTTAGTGACTCCAATGATCCCATAAACTGGGAGATAGGAGACCTACTGTTTGAAAATAAATCTTGGCATCCTTGTTTATAAGACTGGTTTTGCTAGCCTGAATGAATTCGAATTTGAAGCGACTGCCATCCTAAGAGTTGGAGGTAACCCCCCCATTCCCCTGCACCCAATAAGACCCACTTTAGAGCTAAATATCTAAATCTTTATGGAGGGATATTCTCCACGCCTAGGAGCGCAAAAGGGTCATCCATTATTAAACCTTCCTTTCTTGGCTGACATTGAACAGTGGCTTTATTATGAACTATCCTTTTATTCCCTGGCACACAGCCTGGAAAATACTGATGGCCTCAATCTCAACACAGATTAGGGACACTTTTTTCTGAGCAACTGTCATCCTTGTGGCAGCAATTATGGTAACCAGTTCCTCCATTGATCACAATGGAGCACAAGAAGGCAACCCTCGGAAGCAAAACGTTGTATGGACACATGTCAATAATATTAGGCTTCCTTGCTCATTTTTCAGGAGTGTTTTATGAACAAGTCTGATTTGTAATACATCTTCAAGAAACCAGCCAAAATATATCAGGTCAGATTAGAATTAATAGGATTCCATCCATATAGTTGCAAAAAGAGCATCTTATTTGGGATTTTATTTGAATCAAAGCTGATCTCCAGTATTTAGTGTGTGTATGTATGCATGTGAAGGGACATTGTTTTAAATTGGAGGGAAATATTCCATAAAGTGCTTTTCCATTAAGTATCCATAATATTTTAGTAAGGTTATGGACAAAAATCCCAACATTTTAATTTTCTTATTTCTAGCACCAAAAATAGACAGATACACAAGGAATAGGATGAATGTGCGGTCATCATGTTTTTCTCCTTCTCAAGATAAATGCTTATGGTTTCACTCAAATTATAATTAAACCCTGCACCATTTGTATATAGCAACTCACTTTTCAAGTTTTAGGAATCCATAAATTTTTGCCAGTAGACAGTATTCTATAAATTACACTGATTTGCACATGGAAAATAACATGCATACAAAAAATAAACATTCTTTAGAATCTGTAATTATAAGCATCCTTATCTAAAAAGAAGTCTCACAAACTTCAAAAGAATTTCTCTCCAGACCATTGGGTATATGACTGCATTCTTACTAAACTATCATCTCGGCAAATATGCAGAATGAATTAAGAACGGGTGCTTACTTTAAAGTCTGCCCATTCCTTTGAGCAATTTTCATAAAATAACAAGTAACACAAAGCTCTTAATTCATTTCATATATTTGCCTATTTTCTTAATTTGCCTAATCTTCTCAATGTAAAACGTATTAGAAATTAACTCAGTAAACTTTGCTTATTTGGGGCCCATGCTGTTCAACACAATAGTTCATTAATAAGCTATGTGCCTTCCCCATATCCCCCCCCCCTTCTCTCTCACACACACACATCTAAAAATTTGAAGCAAATGGGCATCTTGTCCTGTCCAGGAAAATCTTATTTACCTACATAGATATTCTGTCCATAAATTCTAATTGAATATCCTCTTCTGATTCCCGTTTACCCAGGTAAACAGAAGCCTCCTTAACCATAGTAGAGTTCCATATTTACTATAGGATGCAGGTTATATTAAAACCGTTGCCAACAAAGACCTGTTTAAAAACTATAATTAGTTGCATACCTCACACCCCACAACCCCCAGATTGGGACAGTCCCAACCACCTTGGCTGTGAAAAGATTGTGAAGACCTGGGTTTTTTCCTGGACCTAGGCATTGGGGCAAGAATATGGAGTTAGCCCAATATAGGCATGGTGTATGTGATGGAGTTTATAGTGCCTGGTGATCATATTATGACTGTTTTATTATGTTGTCATTTGCTGGAATTGAACAAATCTCCTTAGAGGTTAATTTATATTGTCTTTGTTGTTAGCTGCGCAGCATTCACATGGGTGGCCATATAAAATGTCTAGTACCTAAATAAACAACAAAAAAATTAACTTTCTGGCCATTCAGTTGAGGTGGGGTTTTTAATTTGGAATAGCGGACGGCGACCCTTGTTACTCATAAAAGTTTTAGGAAATCCTTCTGAAAACTATCCTATATCTCAGGATTTAAAAAAAAATCTTTTCAATACTTTATGCTAATGAATCCCCTGAGTTAAATTGCAGCCCAACATTACACTAAGATAAAAGTATTGAAAAGATTTTCTCTGTTAAAGTATGGTCTGACATCCACACTTTACAAACCTAGCAGGTTTCCTTTAACATATGAGTTATACCAATTAGAGGTTCCCTCTTAGCCTACGTTATAATTTTGCAACACGACGATTTTAATTGCATTCGGACGCCACCCCCCAACCCCCCCAATACATCCAAATCTAATTAAAACTAGGCCGGTAAGAAAACTTACAACCATCCTTATACCCAAGGAAGAAAGACCGAGTTTCTTCCTTCCCACCCAAGGAAGAAAGACCGAGAAGAGTTTCTCCTTTTCCATGCCCTGAAATCTTTTGAGACTAAACTAAAACGGATACCTGCAGAATCAATCTCTCTCTCTCCCCCTCTCTCTCCCCCTCCCCTTCCCCCTCCCTCTCCCTCTTTTCCTTCCGAAAAATCGATTCGGCAAATAAACACCCCAATCCCGGATCTTTCCTCAGTAGCCTTCAGACGTGAACTGAACCCGCACTGCAGCCGCACGTTAATTTACAGGCGCCTCTACTTTCAGCAACCCCATTCAGGCGCTGGTGGGGAGGGGGTCCTGCAGAGAGTTGAAGGTTAACTTTTAACCCCATCATCCCGCGATCTGCAAAGCGAACTGGCTTCGCCTTCTTGCACCCCACCGGAGCCATCTGTGGGGCTACCTTGCAAGGCGAGGAGGAGGCGGGGCGGCGATTGCGTCCCTGTCTCGGAGTCCCCTCTCGACTCCGGACAGGTTTCGCAGTTGTGACCCGGCGCGGCGCAGCACCCCTCGTTTCGCGGGACGCCTCACCTGGAAGCCGCACGATCCGAATGATTTCCCTCCCCCTCTTCTGATGTCGCCTCGTTCCCTGGTCGAGAGCTTCGCCCGAACGAACCCCGATCTCCCGGTTCTGATCCGGAGGAACTGCGTTGCCGCTGCCGCTGTCACCGCGCTCTGCTTTGAAGCAAAGAAGCCGAACTGCCGCCACCGCCGCTGCGGCAATATACCAATCCTCCCCCCCTCCGCCCCCCTGGCGCTCACACGCCTGTCCCAATCGCCGCTAGACGCCCGCCCGTCAGCTCTCGAGTAGGTTCCCAAGGCGGCGCCTGGTTGGGTAAAGGATAAACAGACTTTCTCCACCGAATACTTTCTATGGCGCGTCGGGCCCAGGCAGGGTCCACGCGCTGCCCCCCCCCCCAAAAAAAAACAAGTCTCTACCTTTCAGCAGGAAGAGGAAGGCCTTTTTGCCATTCAGATTAACAGCCCCCGGTAGATGAAGTTATCTAATTCTTAAAAAGTAGTAAGTGGGTTTAACCATCACCAGAGTACTTCTTGTGGCGTTCCAAAAGACATTACAGGTCAGTGCCTGGGAATTACTGCCTCACTGGAAGTAATGGGAAAAGAAGCAAGTTATTTTATTGTGTAAGCAGGTTGTGTTTTATCTCTGTTTAAGACGTTTCTTTCTGCTACTAAAATGGGAGGATCAACAGAGCTGCATGAAATTTACTTATCTATCTATCTATC